ATATTACTTTGAAAAAAGATTGCCAACATCATACTCACCAGATCTTTACATTTAATTCGAACCTTTTGATTCGTGATTAAATGCTGTATTATCACATCAGTCATGTTTTCTCTGTACGCATATCTGTCCCCATAGAGACCGTGCACAATATTCCAAGTTAGTTGTAAATACGTTATCGTTCCGTCTTGAGAACCAAGCACCTATAAAGAATCGTTAAATAATAAATCATAAAAAAAATGATATCATAAACACAATGTACTACAACTTACAATGTGCGAACCAGTTGGATGAACGGCACAGCTCCACACCCATGACGAAAAAATACCACCTACGTTAACTAATTGTATCCCATCATGCGTCATTAAAAGACACTGCTTATTGCTACCACAAACGAGAAGATATTGTCCTTCTGGGAAATGAATGACTTTCAAAGGTATAAAATTGAGTGATCTCTCTCTTTTGACAACTTCTCCTCCAATGTTGTAGAATGAGATGACTCCATTCCATTCAGCAATGCAAAGAACATCCATAGCATGCGCATCATCCCTAAAAGAATTAATATAATTATATAAAGAAATGTCCTTGTTTCCTGTTATAAATAATAACTGTATCTTAAATATATTGCACATACTGTATTGGATTCCATGATAAACTCCAGATTGGTACTCCAGGTTGCCGTTCAATGCGTGTTTTTTCCTCACCATTCTAAAAAATGGGAGTAACTATTGTATATTAATTCAGAATAAAAAAGACATGCGAAAAATATATAAGATTAATTATTTAAAATTATTTCAAAGGAATAACATACTTTATTTCTTATGGATACATATCCAGTTGCAAGACCAAGAGCAAAATATTGTCCATCTCTTGTCCATGCACAGCAATTCACTCTTCCCCCAGACTTATGTTTCTGCACAGCTTTCTGTTCCGCAGACCAAAAAGCAATGTCTGAGAGTGAACAGCTGAGGAGCTGATGCGAGATAGGATTAAAATGCATTGACTGTACAGCTTCATTATGTCTAAATAAAATAGAAGTATGTAATATATTAAAGATCTTTCACATTCATTATACAGATATATCTATATGTATAAATAACTTACGAATATTTTAATATTCCTTCTAGCTTGGAAGTCCAGATGATGACACTTTTGTCTGCACTTCCTGATGCAAATTTTTTACCATCTCTTGCATAACATACACAATATACCGTATCTTTGTGACCTATAAAATATTATAAAAAAATAAAATTATATAAAAAAAAAACATTTTATCAACCATTTAAGTTCTTTATGGATGTATAGTTATACCTTTTAACGGTTGAATCAAAGCACCATCATTGGTCTCATATACAAGTACCTGATGGCCAGATGCAACAACTAATTGTGTGCCACTCGGATTAAAACAAAGGTCATATATACTGAAATAATATCATTTTATAATGTTAATAAATAAAATTATAGTGTGAAAGATAACAAAAAATAAAGACTCAATATTAAAGGGTATTACAATAATATAGTTTATTTTAACACAAACAGCTTTATTAAGTTTTCACAAGATAATCTATAAAATATAAGATCAGAGAATGCAATATATATTTAGAAAGATTAATTTATAACTGCTGAGAGGGAAAAAATTTATCCAAGTTTTACCATTGATCTGACTTTTCTTGCACCTTGTCGACCCATGTTGGATGTGCTCTCATTGTGTCACATTTAGTAATGATTGTTTGATATTATTAAATTAATGTGCAACAATGTTATCTCGCATGACATACGAGGATCTGTTTAGCATTCATACGGTTACCACGGAAACGACATATCAATGGTACGAGAAATTCCTTCCCAAGGAATACAATCGTAATGATTACATCCATGACAAGCGTTTCCAGGAAATATATTAAACATCATTTATGCCATAAAACATTAGATTCCATTGATAAATTTGAACAATTTTGTACTAATGTAGCTTATTATCAAAAAGTTTATTCAAAAACTTTTCTGTCCAAGTATTGCAAAATTTTTTATTCGTAAGATTATTAGATGGAGACAGTTTCATATTCAAGTTGATTCGGCCTGCATATCAACTATCAACATTAGATAAAGATTCTTAAATTACAGAGAGCGATGTATCGGCTAAGTCTTATCTTCCCATCAATCATAGAAGGGTGCATTCAAAAATCTTACACTTACTTGGGATAGAATAGTTTCTAATTGACCAATCAGGAAAAAGAAATCTTTGTCCCTTTTATTCTGATTGGTCAATTAAACGCTACTTTACGAATAGGATTTCCAAACGCACCTTTATAAAAGCGTAAAGCTAGGTTGCAGGCGTAGTGCAACGTACACGTACACCGTACACTTGCATTGCACATCATTACCAAAAGTGAATTTGACAGTAGAGATTCTGTACATTGTTGAAATTATATTTTCGAGTGTTTTTGTGTAGTCCGGAGAAAAACAAAAGCGCGAAGATGAGTAATTCAACTATTTCGGATCAATCGCTAATGGACAAGTCAATGAGAAGTGTTTTCGGTGAGTAATTTAATATACGAGTTGCTATTTTTTAAATGAGGTTAGCGTTGTTATGATGTACACAATGTTTCTGATTGTTTTGTAGTCGGGAATATCCCGTACGAGGCTACAGAGGAAAATCTGAAGGACATCTTCAGCGAAGTTGGACCAGTGCTATCCTTCAAGTGAATATTTTATATTTTCTGTTACTCTGTTAATTGCATTTAACAAACTTAAATGTCATTATTTTTGAATTTTTCTACACATGTTTTCAATACTTGAAAACATTATAGAATAATGCAATGCTCTAACAATATCTTAAATATTAAATATTAAATTATCAAAATATATACTATATAAGTCTATATATAAATAGAATTCCTTGGAAATGAGTGAATATGTTGAATATAATTTTCTGACATTAATCATTTGTTTCTTTCTTTCTATCATCAAAAGAATACACTTGATTTTTGAGCTTGTCATGTAATTATTCTAATTTTTATAGTTGCAAAGAAAATATTGAATACTTGCGTATATATGCAATTTTTCAATTGTTGTAAATAGATTAGTTTTCGACCGCGAGACAGGTAAGCCTAAAGGATATGGCTTCTGTGAATATAAAGATCAGGAAACAGCCTTAAGCGCTATGAGAAACTTGAATGGATATGAGATTGGTGGAAGAACATTGCGGGTGGATAATGCTTGTACAGAGAAAAGTCGGATGGAGATGCAGAGTCTTCTGCAAGGGCAGAATACTGAGAATCCATATGGGGAGGCTGTTCAATCGGACAAGGCGCCAGAAGCTATAAGTAAAGCTGTAGCATCTCTACCGCCAGAACAAATGTTCGAGTTGATGAAGCAAATGAAACTTTGCGTGCAAAATAATCCGAATGAGGCGCGTCAAATGCTTCTGCAAAATCCTCAATTGGCATACGCTCTGCTTCAAGCACAGGTAGTCATGAGGATAGTGGATCCACATACAGCAGTCAGCATGTTGCATAAGGCTAATCCTATCCCTGGTGTATTAACACCATCGGAAAAACCAATCCAACAAGTCCAACCACGAATTGAGGAACCGTGGGCTCCGCCGCGGCCTCCACCAGCTGTTAATGCTCCAGCGCCAATTTTCGCAGGTAAGACAAAAATATACTTCAATGTTCATTTAATATTATGTGTACATCAGTGTTCGATTATTACTGAAGAATTGTATTATATTCACCATGTTGGAAAAATTTCTATTTAAAGCTTAATCAAAATACATAGGTCAAGACGTAGATCTTCGATTGGATAGACCAATAGATCCACGTTTAGCTAGGATGGATCAAGATTTAAGAGGGCCTCCTCAAGCGCAGCCCACTCCAGTTAGCGCACCACCGGTAATACCGGTTGCCGCTGATCCGAGAGGGCCCAATACATTTAATATTACAGACAAGTAAGTTCATTTTGATTGTTGGAAGATCGGTTATAGATTGTGTAATTGAAAGAGCTGCTCTTTTTTACAGCACTCTTCCTGTGGAGGGAGTCGAGAGGTTTCATATATATATCTTAAATAGGTTTGATCACTGTGTTGTATTCTCTCTTGTATTAAATTTATATTATTTTCAGCTTTTGTCGTGATCCGAGGGCTGACAGATTCGGCAGAGATCCAAGAGATCCTAGAGATCCGAGGATGCCCATTGATCCTAGGATTACTAAAGCTAATCGTAAATATCTTGAATTTTTTTTTTTCTTTTATTAAGTGCATTTGATACAAATAACATTTTTTCGTTATTTATAAAAATTCTTTTTATAAGAATTATACATTTAAATGGAACTTTTAAATCTCATATAACTTTCACTCCTCAGCGACTCCTGTCGCTCCACCGGTTGTTCCGAGACCAGTTGCTGCACCAACCGTGCCAATACCAAGCCCTGTAACGGGCAACACGACTATCTCCACCACTGCGCTTTCACAGTCGGCAAGTTCTGCAACATCAAGACTTATGGCTGGAATGTCTCCAGCCGGAAATATTCCCAGTGGCGCGTCCGACCAAGAAAAGGTATGTTGTAATAAGATAACTTTTACTTACAAAATGGTTGCAATATTTTGTAAAGCTTTCAACATTTTTATTTGAAATCTTATACTTCATACTTCCAAAAATAGAATATATAGCACACAGAATATCCTTATTTGTATAACAATTAACGTCTCAAAAATAAAAAACAAAAACAATCGCACGAATATATGAAGAATTATAATGAATTCGCAACATCATTGCACACTAATGTACATTGTTTTATGAAATTCGCTATTAAATTCACAATTTAATTATATTGATAAAAAAATATTTCAAATATATATTCTAAATAAAATGTAAATCATTGCTTTTTTTGCAGGCGGCTTTGATAATGCAAGTATTGCAATTATCAGATGAGCAAATTTCGATGCTTCCACCTGAACAGAGACAAAGTATTCTGGTGCTAAAGGAACAAATTGCAAAGAGTACTCAGCGTTAACATAGTTTGTAAGTTGTATGTAAGCCTCTAAATATTTTCAAAGTTAATATAACCTTAAAGTATGTGATGTACAATCAATACATTCTTACAAAACACAATATCCGCTTCTCTTATTGTCTCTATGAGGTATCAAACTTATTGTCTACCAGTGATCAAACTTATATCTATATCTATATTTATATGTAGAAAAGGCGAAACGACTACAAATTCCTGAGTGATCTTTTTGCTAAATCATGTACATGCGAATTAATTACACAATGTACATGATTTAAGTAAAACTTAAACAATGTCAATCATAAATTTACAGTCATAAACAGTTAACACTGCTTCTCAGTCTTCTTCAGGGTTCTTAAATTGATATAAACCTTCTTTTATCAAGTGAGCATAAAAGAGTTCTTTACATGTCTTGTCCTTGTATATTTCTGCCACTATGCTATTCCCATCATTAATTTCCTACAATGATAATTAATTTAAGTATTTTCATGCAATTTTAAAGATATTAATTTTAAAGACTTGCCTTAACTCGAGCCACAACTGTTTGATTATATATTTCATCCAACTTTGATGCTAATAAAGTAATATCGCTAGAGACAAAGTTTAGCCCCCAAAATGTACATTTAATAGTCATAGCGGGCAATTCTAGCCATTCCTCCTTTGGTATATGTAAATCATGGTTTCTGGAACACATATTTTTGCAAATTATTATAAATGACTCTTGTATTGCATAAATCAAATAACATGAATCAGCAGTATTAATATCTTACATTGAGAGTAAATCCAATATTTTGTATTCGTGATTACCGTAATCAATATAGTACAGTGAGATTTGTATGTATTGGGTATCTGGAATTTTTTTACTATTTGTAATAACGCATCTATACCACATCTCATCAGAAAACTTCGTTATGCATGGAGTATCTAAGAAAGATTATAATACGAGTATTACCGATAATTTTTATATACTTATTATATAAATCATATATAGCTATTTATTTTACGACAGACTACTAAGAGAGATTACTTACTTTTTTCAAAAGACTCGATTAATGGTTGATGATAAGCATTGGTTTGCAAGTCTGACATTATGGCTTTGTATTGCAAATAATAATCATGAAACAGCTAAAAGATGAATATAAATTAGGTTATTGCTTCATGCAGATATTTCTTTATGCATGTATTTAATAACTGATGTAAATTTTACCTACATTGGAAAACATGGTGTCGTTGTTTTCAGCCAATTGTGCGAAAGAGGTAATAGGATCTTTATTGCAACATAATATTAATTCAATATACTTTGTCTCTTGTGGAATTGTCAACTGTTTATATACATCGAAAGAATCTGTTTCTTCTTCCGATTCTGGTTGCGGCGTTGAACAGGCGTTCAACTGCTTGTCCAAGGTGATTGCGTCCATCCAGGATATATTTTCAAAATCGGTTTGTTTAATAGATATATTAGATTCTAGTTTCAAAGACTCTATTTCTGCAGAATTACCGCTTATCACATTCTCATTGAATGTAATATCCTGCATATATATTTCTGATAAAGATTCTTTTGAAACATTAGTTGTGCATTGTTCGTCATAATCATTTATCGTTTCCTCAATAATAACGTCTCTGCTGGTAGAATCCGATTTTAAATCTTCGCTTTCATAATTTTCCAATTCATTCCACTCTTTATGTTCGATTTTAATATTCATATCCATGTGATTTGCAAGATACACTAGTAGATCACATTTCCATGGCCGCAATAATGTTATTGATACCTGCAAATAAAAATAAAACGTTATTGCACTTTTAAAGTAGATCACAATAAGATAAATGAAGAATATCGAAAACTTCTGACAATATAAAGATGTAGACTTTATATTTATAACAATCGCTTTCTATCTCTCTCTTTTTCTCTCTGACATATAGACGTAACTTACGATTAAATCTGTAGGTTGTCGCTGTAAAATAGATATTTCGCATTCTTGATCAACGAGAAGTGCATGTATCCGATCTAAATCGTGCAACATCCATTTGCCATTTGGACATGCCTATATTTGTATAAAGGAAATTTAGGAAGATTATTATAAACCAATAAGTGTGAGTTAAGAAAATTATAATAAATTAATATTATTAAAAATATTCAATTCTGAAATAAAGTTACATTACCGTTTTTAGTCCACTAATGATACATTTTGTGGATTGGATAGGAATATGACCTAATCTAATATAGTCCGTTACATGCACTATTTCACATTCTTCTACATTGCCATAATCGACAAATTCCACCTAGATATAAAATATATGTTTTAAATAATATTATAAATACAATAGTCATTAGTATAATAGATTATTATTATTCTTACCAGCACTGTATTCCCTAAATTTTTAGAAATTCGGCCTCTATACCATTTTTTATTATGATGATATTGGGCAATACATAATTCTCCTTCCTTCCATACTTTCTCCTTTTTTATTTTAATGTTCTTATAATAAGTTTGCAATTCGGACTCTATATAGTAAAGTAAATCGGCATCTAATAACAAAACATATGAGAGAAGTATATGAGTAAATAAATAATATTGTTGTATTGTAATAATATAAATAATATATAAATATGGATATAAATCGATGATTATAAGCTTAAAAAGAAGAGAAGAATTCTATATTGATTATTAATTATATAAGAAAAATAATGTACTATTCTTTTTAGGATGAAAATATACGATGCATTTATTGTCCACATATGTCGGTATAGCATGGAATACTTCTTCCGTTATTTCGACCGGTGGTAACCAATCAGAAATCTTTATTGCACACTGGCGATTCGTCGAGTCGCAAATCTGATATTTGGAGCTTAAATTGGTTAATGCATCAATACTAGAATTTTGGCACGATGAATCACTCTCATGTGAGATGGTTTCGTCTATTTCTTTGAAATCAGTGTTAAACTTTTTATTAAACCACTTTACTTCTTCTTCTTCTTCGGTCAACACAAATTGATGATCACCCTCTAACTGCCGTTTAAATTCTGCAGCGAGAATTGAATCCGATTTTGCAAAATAACTGTTGAGAATTATGATTTAAAATACTGTGTATGAGAAGTAAATTATTTAATATATAAATTAATTTATTTAAATACTTTTTAATGGGTAAAGCGACACCCTTTTCCACCAACATTCTGTTGATAGAATTAATTTCTATTTTAGTTGGCGCCAATGGTCCTGGTATTTTGGCTTGTCTTATCCAAAGTTCGACAGGTATCACATCATTGTAAACTTCTTCCTGAACCTTAAACAAGATATAAATAATTCACATTTTTATTTATTTATATTTTCGATCAACTTTGCTGAACTCAGTTTACAATTAATATCGTTTCTGATACTTGAAAAATAGATCTTTAAATATTTCGTATAACTTTTATCGTACTAGAGTTAGAATCGATTTGATCGGATTATTGATAAATTTATCAATAAAACTAATAATGTCGGCAGGAATATGTAATTATTATTAAACACATGTTATCGATACAAGCCGGATTCAAGTTTGTTTACACTAGCATTAAATAGGATTTTCTAACGGATTGTAATCACAATCCATTGAAAACGTACCAGATAACAACAAATGCTCTCTTAAAAAAAGATAAAAAGACTCACCGGCTTAGTGATGTAATATTTGCAAAATGCGTTTTCCCGTATAATATCAGATAGTGTCGTACATGACAACGACGGCCACATAGATGATCCACCGCACGGCAAAATACCGGCCAGCTTCACTTTGAAGCAATACGTTGGCTCTTTTGCGAATTTCAAATGCAGAATCTGTATATCCTTCATCATCACCGTTTCCTCGATGCCCATGTCGTAGAAATAAACCAATACCTCCGTCAAGGATTTTATCTTTAAGATTTTTGCACGGAAGTAAGATTTATCCTTCGCGGAATATACGGCACATAGAGCATCTTCGCTCCAATTATTTCGCAATTCGGAATGATAGGTATCGTAGAATTTTTGCATTGCCGATATCATTTTCGCGTTTGACTCCTCGTGCTCCGTTTGCGCGACGTAAATGCAATCCGGTGTGATCACCCGTTGTATATATACCTCCACTTTAAAAAGATCTTTTATAGTCTCATTTTGCTCGACAGGTTTCTTCTCGTTTTCTGTTTCGTCATACGAATCGTACAAGTCCTTCATGGAATTATCGAGTTTCTCCGATAGTAAAAGACCACGCTTATTAGTTGGCGATGGTAGACCCTTAGGCAATTTATTCTTAAATTTGCTATATTAAAAGAAAGAAAAATAATAATAATCTTGATAAGTCGAGCATGTCGTTGTGAATATGAAGTCTTTTTCCGCCGATAGTTTTATATATGATATACAAGTACACTCACTTCTTCATTTGAAACTCGTTAACGACGCCTGCAATTTTTAATTGTCGACTAACATCGACATTATTGATGCAAATACAAGCAACATAATGTCCGTCCTCTATCTTTTTTCGATGAGTTATTGTTACGCAATTTATTCGTTTAAAGAGACTCTTTAACTTTATGAAACACTCTGATTTCCACTTTCCATCAGATTCCGGCATTATATACATTAACGATATCCTTATGGCCTGAATCAAACGAAAAAAATAATAAAAATTATTGTGTGTGTCATTCTATAAATAATAACATATAAATAACATAAAAAAGAAAGGGACCAATTTACTTGTGCATTAAATATAGTATACTCATGCGGAATCGCTCGTAATACATCGTGGTTTGAAATTAGAGTGAATCCCCAATCCACACAATATACTCTGACTTCATATTCGTTAAGAACTTCAGTGATTTCGCCGCGTTCCCAAACACAGTTTTCCAATTGCACAGCGCAAGGTAAACCTTCTCGAGGTGCATCGATCATTTTTGTTGAGTTATCTTCGTCGTTATAATATTCCTGTAACTCTTTTGATAGTTTTAAAAAACTATTATGTCGTCCAATCTTCTTGACGTAAATCTTATCCGGCGATTCAATCAAACTAATATAAACTTGTACTGGTGTCCTATTTAACAGAAGTTCTTCTTTATTATATACATATACATGAGTGATTTCCGATGCTTGTGTTATATTTTTACAACTGTCCAAACGTGCGTAATCCGTAATTTTCATAGTATTACACATTGATTGCGGACCCATATTATTATCCTTCGAGATAAAACAGAGATCCACATACAGCATGTCAGGGGTAGACTTAATGATAGATATCGAGCAATCAGCTCTATTTGTCAACTTCATAAAATCGTTTGTGCTCGCGTTCGTCCAGTGGAGATTCTTGGGTATTAAACCATGTAAACAGCATCGAATCGCCTGTGGTGGCAATTCTAGCAAATGCTCAGGGATGTTTCGTATTCTCGAAGTCGGTATATTGCGTTCTTCGTAACCGTAATCTAAGTAAAATATATTGTACAATGTCTCGCCGCCATCGGTCGTGTTCACCACGTTCACGCGTCCTCGGAACCATTTTCCATCGAATTTTCTCTGTTTAACGATACACGTATTATCTGCAAACGACAAACTATTCATGTAGATTGAGTAAGGTCACGAGCGGTTGTTCTTCATACTCTCATACCTAGTTCGAGCTTAATTGGCGGCTCTACATTTTGTTTGTCTTCTCCGTATTTCCTTAAATCTTTTTCCAGTTGTCCAAACGCGGATTTCGAGGCCACTTTCCGGACGAAGAACAATGACGGATTAACAACGTACGTCACCTCTACCTTACATTCGGGAATACCTTGAGAAAAAAAGAAAAAAATCGATTTTAGATCGAAGATTAAACATTGGAAAAATTAACTTACTTTCTTGTTTCGAATCTTTCTTCTTTTCGACTGCTGCTTCTATATCTTCTGATTTGATGGATATTGTCGATGTACTGTCTGATTTCTTTGATAATGACATCAATGGCAGTTCTTCATAGATGTCTGTAATTTATAATGAAATAGTATTTCATAATTGTTTTCGAGTCGAAATTTTATTAAAATAATTAAAAAATAGTAAGAAATTTAGAAAATATATTTACTAAAAAAAGTTATATATAGATGAAATGAAGATTATAGTTATATAGAATATTATCTTTATTTGTAAGACAAACGAATGATAATGAAGATCTAGAGAGTGGATTTTTATAAAAGATACACACACATTCGAATCGCGATATACAATAAGATTGAAGCTCTTACTTGTACACGATTTCTTCTTTAGGGGCGACACTATGTAATTATTCGGTAATTCATCAGTTTGCACGAGACTGTAGAACGACATTGGCGGCACTAGGATTGAACAATGATTTTCTATAGCTGCGATGATCGAATTATCGAAGGTAAACCTGTTTAAAGAGATACATTGTTGCACCAGCGAACAGAATTATCATTCAATAACTACTAACATTCCGTACGTTCATATATACGATAAAAATAACATGCTTCGCAGAAAAAAGTTACGCTCTAGATATTAGGTGAATTTCACAATTTCTTTTTAATTATTTGTTTGGAGTTCGCTGTCGATTACTCACGATGCCTTATAGTTTTGGCCTATGTCTTTATACATCAAGTGACAAGGCAAGTCCGCCAGTTCTTCCAAGATATTTATTGCATTTTGTATGTCGACCTTGTGAAAGCTCTGTCTCGCGTAAGAAGCCATCTAAACAAGACAATCATCATATTCGATTTAAGCTACAAAGATGTTTAATAGTAAATTAGACAAAGTAAAGTATATTAGATAACATGAGATTGAATTTCATTGACGTCACTGAACCTGCCTGACTTTTTTTTTTATATTTATCCAATTATTTTTTTATTATAAACATCTACTACATTTTATCTAATTATCAATAGTCGTAGGAAGCAAATATAAAATCTGGTATCCATAAAGCAGGTACAATGCTAACATAAACGTATTACGTACAATTTCATTGAAGCAGATAGCAGGCGAGTATGTTTTTCTATAAGCATTCTTTATTTCCGAAAAAAATCGTACCTGCAACGTCATCCTCAATCTTTTCTCCTGCGCTTGAAGCTGCATATCGATGTCTTCTAAATTCGTCTTCAGAGAATCACGCTGTCGATACAGCTGATTTATCAATTTTGCTTCCATGTTTTGAAGAACGCCGTGTAGATACGCGAAATGTTGAGTGATTTCCGTCTCTATAATTTCACTGTTTTCCAGTTCGTATATCTTGGATGTTAAGGCTGATTTTATCTTCTGAAATGTAAAATAATACCATTGATGTGTTAATACTATAATCCCATTACATTGCAATCTATCTGAAATAAATAAACCAAAATGTTTGTATACAATATTTTATGACCATTTATATTAAGGTCTACTTGGTAAATTTTACAGCCAACGAAAAGAAGTATAAATTTCTGACAAAATAAAGAGATAAATTAAAAAAAAAATGTAACAGATTTTACTTATTAAATATATACAGCAATGCAGCTTTTCGGGAAGCATATAAGAGAAAAAAAGATCAGATGCGCGGAAATATTCATTGATAACATATGCATTCCATTCGTGCATAGATAGTTTGATATATGGAAAAATATTATTACGAAGGTGCGTCTCCCGGAATGGAGCTCGCACTCGCGAGTTTTCTCGGCGGTTTCCTATTTTTCTCGCGAGTTTCATTCAAATTCGCGGAAGCCTCGTGTTGCCTCAGCAAACTCTTAGATCGCTCCACTACTTTGCTCTCGGAATGAATCGGCGGAATCAACAAAGTGCACAACATTACGCACTATCGCGCGTCGGTTTAAAGAAAAATTTATTTTTTTTTCGTCGCAATTACTCGATTATTTTTCCAACAATAAATCGACGAATTTTTCGTGCAACTGCATCTATCTTTGCACACATATATCTATTTCAATACGAAATTGACCGAAGCGTCTTACTTTCAAGTTCTTTCATCAATTTGCAATGGATTTTCTCTCCTTAAGTATAATAAACTTCCGTAGATTTGAGGCGTATCGATTCAATCAACGACGTCGATGTTCGTATCAACACATTAATTAACAAAAGCAATAAAAATACACAATCAACTACAATCTTCTTCTTTCAATATGCAATCTGCAACAATAATATATGCGCTTCGAGAAGTGTCATCGTGCGCTTTCGAATTGCAGCGGAAAGAGAACATGTGAAAATATGTCGTTGATTGAACGAAAGTGTAGCTCAATCCAATGGCAATTGAGATGAATGACTGCAGACAAAGAGGGACGGCTCGTTCGAAATGCGGAGAGAAAGCGCGAACCTTTGTTCTAGATGCGCGACACAATCAATTCATTCGTAGCGAGCCGCACCATCAGGGACGAATATACATATGGAAATCGTTAAAAAGTTTAAGTCAAGGCGTGGCGCATAATATAATTTTGTTCAGAAACATTTGACATTTTTTTTCAAGTCATATATATGTATTGTGTAGAATAAGAATTCTTTTTTTAAAGCTCGATTTTATATATATATATATGTTTACGAAAATAATTCGCTGCAAACAATAACTATTTGTTTTGCACAACAATGCTTGCGAATATAATTTTATCAGAGATTAATCGTTAATTCATTGAGGAGAAAAGTTATGCATATTTTTTGATGTGAGAAAAATACTGAATTTTAAGCCAATTTTCTTTCTCACATTGTAATACTTTTTTTTGTGGAATAAAAAAGAAATTATATCGTAAACACATTTTTATAGCTTGCTAATAAAACGCAATTCGTAAAAATTGGTATGCGTGAAGCTCCTCATTTCTGATTCATACGATTTATCTCGCGCGACACGCAAGATTCTCTGTTAGCCGAGACGCATTTATTGAACGAGGACGATTTTGTAACAACAAGCCAAAAAAGACTTAGCGTTCAGCTTGCGCGAGGACATTGTTGTTATTGCGGCCGATAGAAGGTCGACTCGCGAGTTGCTTCGAGAAGGATCCCTCCGCGAAGGGAAAGACACTGGGCTCCTCTCTCATCGGAGCGGAGATTGTGGAACGGCAGAGAACCGTACGCTGTTGTATGCGAGGCTAATGCTATCTGGCTTCACGAGCTACCTTTCCTCAGTCTTTCACGTCCTGAGCGACCGGTCGCACAGTCGAGACGATAAACACACGTTCCGTTCGCTGACGCGAGTATACACTCGCGTGCCTTTTTCTTCCGTTTGTCGCGAAGAGAGTTGACTCGACGCGAAGGATACACACAATTCGACGATGCATCCGCGATCATAGCTCTTGCTAGTGTCAACACGGAGGCGCGGGTCGTAAGGGTGGTGCGTGGACCTGCCGAGGAAAGAGGGTAGAAGAAGCGGAGGGGGAGAGGCATAATAATATGAAGCTCCTCTGCGTGGCGATTATCATCGCAAGTGTAGCGTTTCTCTTGGCTATCGTTGGTGAGTCGACAAAAATCTCATTAATCTTTTTTCAAACTTTACGGGACTTTATTTTTCTTTCATTCATCTATTTTTTTTTTTTTTAATGGCTCGCACAATTGCATTTTTTTCTTTTTTTTTTTAAGCGTAAATTATTGCAATGTCGAGTGAATGGAGAGCGCACGCGATGTCGAAGACGTTCGCGAAGGCCACACACACACAATCGCACATGGTCTCTTTTTAATTAAACTGTTGACCGATTCACACAGACTATTCGCGGATGCGTTTTCGTCGGATGAACTTAATTTGCCCTTGCGTTCTCGAGCAAACCGCACCGATATCCGTTCGTTTAACCGCCTCTTTCCAGACTACCCTTTGACTGTTTGCACAGCATAATTAACGTTGCGCCGCGAAGACATAAAGGGAGTTCTCTCTCCACGGTTGATTTATCAGGTTAAACAAGATCGCGCCAATTCTCCGCAAAGGCGGAGCTCGAATTGCAGATCGCGACGATGTGTCCAGAATGATCTTTCCATTTATCTTTAATATATTTTATTTCATCTTTCAAACTGTAACTGCTTATCTTATAATTAATCATGAAAAGTTAGACACACATATACAGGAGTCAAAAAATTTCTTAGTGTATGTCAAAAAATATTATTTTTATAATATCTAATATAAATTTCGTTTATTGTTAAAATCAATTTTTTTCTATTGAAAATCTCACACTTTAGACGATCTATATATAATTTAAGACAAAATTCTATTTTACAATAAAAATATTTGAAGAATCAGAAAGAGAAAGAAAAAATAAATATATAATTCATATAGAATTTATATCAAAATATATATAAATATTTATATCAAATATATATAAAGTGGAATTTTCAGCTATAAAATCTATCGTGAATTATAAATTGTCTAATCTGTTTTGCAATTCGATCACTTTAAATATCGACGAAAATAAAAAAAATCATCTTTCATATAAATTCAAAACTGAAAAGGATTTTTTTTAGTTATCGAGATATGCAACTTTTAGAAATTCTATTTGCTATTGATATGCCATTTTTGTTTGCATATTTGTTAGATATAAATGTGCATTATTAAAAATCGTCAAAGCGTCAAAATGGCGATCGCCGCGTATTAAGTTTTAAAAGATATCCGATTGATAATCGATGATAAAAATGGAAGATTCAATCAATCAAAAATTCGAGAGCATCATCGATCACGATCTCTTCGCCACTTTTATTTCCGTCATTTGCGATGGAAATGTCCATAGATATCGCGATTCCCTCTCTTTCTCCTTTGCTCAAATCCAATCTCATCTATTTATTTATCTATGTGTTTTCCTCATCTTCCCCTTGATATCCCAGTATAATGGACAATAAAATGTTTCGTGTGCTAAAAAGCAATAATCGTACTCGTACGCGCGTATCGCAAAAAATTGGCGCAGAAGGCAATGCGTGGTTTTACGCTCTCTTTCTCTTTATCTCCTTTTTTTCTCTCTCTCTCTCTCTTTCTCTCTCTACCTCTTTATTTTTATCATCCCTTGGGCACGACATCGATCGAACGACCGACAGCAAAAGGAAAAAGGGGAAAAGTCGTGCGACTAAGACCAGAACACATCGAGGAAGGAGAAGAGGAAGAAAAATGAAAGTAACACGGCGGCCTTTTTCTGAAAACAAACCCCCATCCATCGGACATCGTCTCAATTACCGCTCAAACATCCGTCTTTCCAAAGATGAATTCGAAGAATTCTCTTCCTCTGTTTTGCGCTCATTGCGTACGACAAAACCCTGATAACGAAATCCCGATAAAAAAAATAGTCGGATGAAATGGAAAAATTAATAGTGATACAACTGCCATCAGGCCTTTATATATTATCGGAGTACTTGATGATTGGATGAAATATTATTCGCGAGATTCCTCAATCAAGTCTAACAAGAAAAATGAATGTCACTATAATTAAATTTATCGAAAATGAAGTCATTTATTATGTATTTATCTTGTTGTTGCCATTGAAAAATATGACATCCAGACACGCATATCTTAGTGTGTGAGACGGAATCCCGTGTACAACAGCTTTCCTGTGGGAGAAAAAAAAAAGTGAGATTCGTCCCGTAATCGATTCGAAAGGCGTACTACCTCAAGCTGTTTACTCACCGGCGATCTAGATAAAGAAATCCTATCCCCGTTCAAGGATCTCTCAACCTCGTTCCCTTTAAGGATGATTAAGTAGATTCACCTCCGTGCGTTCGTGAACGACATGAGAAGATATCGAAGGGATAATAATTAATCAAGCCACGCATGGAAGATTCTTGACGAAGGATTTTCAATTGTGGCCAAGTCAACTTTCTTTTTGCTACTATCTACTTTTATAAATCTCTCAGGATGATTGCATTCTCTGTCTCCATCGCGTAACTGCACGCACAATTCGCGTTCTCGTGTGTTAAAACACGTGGGTCGCTATAAACTACAACGAGTCGCTATAAACTTCTGAGCCTTTCCGATCGAATAAAAATTCGCACGCTCTAAATCACTATATACCCTGTATACCGTAAAGCGTGTACGCGTTAAAAGCGTACGTAATACGACTAAACTTTTTACGAGTGTATGGTACAGAGAGATAGAGAAAGAGATATTTGTTCGCATACGAACACATTCGCCGGCTTTAGAATATATCTATCAAGAAACGTCCCATTTATCTGATTCGCGTCGCTTTGTTTGTCTAGCTGATAACGAACCGCGCGAATGCGAACGGGATTAACTCCTCGCGGAAATAATCGTCGGGACGGAAGAAAACTCGGCTTCGAGAAGGAAGCGGACCCCGTCATTACCCGATTCGCATAATTTCCTTTGCACCCTTTGCGATAATAATGTCTACGATTGTATGAAATAGTACAGAGTTGATCCAATATTTTAGTTAGAAAAATTTTGCGAATTCTCATCAATAATAACCATTGCGGGGCAATAATAATTTTTCTTATTTATCAATATTGCATGTTTTAACATCTGTTAAGATTTTGTATTGATTTCATAGTTTATTAAGATTTCAGGATGTATGTGTATTCGTATTCTCACGTCACGTGCGATAAAGTTATAAAATCCGTACGTCTTTATATCTTGGCTGTTTATTATACATCTGTCAGTATAATAATCGCGTTGCTTCACACGATGTATCGTGCGAGCTTCGCATAGTGCAAAACGTAATGTCTTCCGCTGCGCGAAACGTTCGTCGACGATAATGAATAGGTAGTATTGTATCGCGCAAGAATAATATATTGCTCCGCGAATGCGGCTCACATATTGCATACATATATAAATTGTTAACCCGCGAAACAATCATCGCACTTATCGAACTTTGACGAATAATAGTACATTTTAGAAAAATTCTCTGAAATTTTTTGACAGATACAATTGTTTTGCACAACAAAATCAACGCAGATTCCATTTTGTAGAAAATCAAAGTTCGGCGAAATATTTTTTAAATACACAACATTAAATCTCACGACAGAGATAAGCCTGAAGTAAAAAAGAATGATAACTATTGCGAGACAATAAAAATTTTAATAAGCAAATAATACGGATTGTTGTGTTGATATGCTACTCCATCGCCACGGTATCACGATCATCGATTTCATTTCGACATTGCAACGGCGACAATAACGCGTAGACGCATACAATCTAATTCCCGGCTCTTGTATTCAACACACGCGAGTGCAACATACGCGCATGTAAAGGCAGGCACGTGTATTAATGATGACGACGACGACGACGGGGCTTGCGCCACGCTCTTGGTCGCGAGATCGAGCATAACAATAAAGCCGTGGGGAAATTTGAAGTCGTGAGCCGAGTTATGAATTAAGTTCCTCGGTTTCCCCCTTCCCGTCCCGCGCGTTTTACAGTGTGCAAGTGGGAAGGAAAAAAAAACGGCCGTCGCGAACTCGCGAGTTTTCTATTCGAGTCCACGTGTGAATGCGGGAAACCCCAATTGGTGTTTTTCACGGCGCCGCAAATCGAGATGTACGATCGAAAACGATTCGGAACGAGTATAAAGTTACTCACGTAGAAAAATTCTTCGTTAAATCGTCCTTTTATATATAGGTATGTTCCTTTAAAAAAAAATGGAAGATTTTTACTTATCTTTTTTTTTTAAACTGCGCTAATTGAAGCCCTCGACTGAAATGGAACAGTCCTCGTATATAAAACGCGTAGCGAAGCAACGTGGAATGAGAACGGGGGGAAAGATTATCGTTCTTTGATTCTCTTCCCCGGCATATTACTTTTCCCCGCGCGCAAATTTCGTTATAGTAATACGTAACGCGGTATTAACGGGGCAAAAAGAATGCGCTCCAATTATTTCTCCCAGGATCTCCGTCCGTCCGTTCGCGCGCGCACGCTGCAGAGAGAAATTTATTTCCATTACAGTCCTATATACTGTGTGTGCGCAAATACATATTTCATCTTTTCATCTATCGCGGCGAGCGGGCCAGCTTTGAAATATATGTGTGTCCGTGCGCGCGAGCGCGCGCACTCGTGTATATGTATGCGTGTAACGATCGATGATATCGTTGCAAATATTATTTTATGGGCGTCGACCAGAGGCGAGCGCGCGCGCGCGCGCACACAGTAGCGAACAAGAG